TGCCGTTCACTTAGAGTTTGTATACTCTTGGAAGTCAAACTTCCTCTGTGCAAGGTGCAGTGTGATCCGTCACAGTAGAGCAGAGACATTATTTGTCATGAATATGTGATAGGCTGCAATTAGCTTCTACGTAAAGGTACATCCATAAGTCTTCTGTGTGCATTGTAGAAATTTATAATGAAGAGATCACATTATGATGTCCCTACATGCATATGTGGCTTCTTCTATGAAGTCAGAAACATCTTGTATGATACAGAATGCTGATTAAAACTTGAAAATTTGCGCTGGCGACGAAATCTACGTGTCTATGTCTTCTGTAGTGGTTGGCGTAAGCCCGTAACTTTTGCTGGGAGCCTTACACGAACACATACGTTCAAGCTTTCAAAGTTTAAGCTCCGTCTACCAATATCATGTATAAGTTCAAGCTGACGTCTAACATCGTCTTGATTTGGTGGTGGAAGCGTTTTCGCGTCGCCTTAAATTGTCTCATGCCATAATAGTGACGTCGACAGTTTATAAGACGTTGCGTACAGCTTACGGGTCGGATGCAACATGTGTGTTTTGCTGCCAAAGTCTTTGGGAAGCAAGTAATTGAATCCTCAGATGTCGCTTTATCAAAGCGTGAGGTTGTCCGCATGCGCTGCTATGACTTCTTTTGAGGATTGATATATTTTAGAACTGAATAACTCGACATCAGTGTGTGTTGGTTTCTCGTCTCAGATAAAGATATTGCAAGAGGCACATGATATGGCAATCATAAAAGCCTAATGGGATTCTGCTAGGTGAGCACTACGTGTTTGTGGCCTAACATTTACGAGTGGGTATCCATGTATATTCGCACATGCTAAACGCGTCAACGGGTCCTTGGTAACGAATCGCCGCATGTGTCGGCGCTTTTGCCAGCCTGCTGGTTTCGGCAGAGTGTCGGCTGTCCTTAAGATTTTGAAAAGCGTGTATGATAACATTGGTCTACGCTAAATGGCTAATCTTGCTGCTGAAAGTGGCACAATACCGGTCAGGATTCAGCCAAGATATGTCTGAACAAAGTTTTCCGCTAAGCATCTTAAAAAGAATTTGCCAGCCTTTTGCCATAAGCGCAGATCTTCATTTGAAACAATCGCAACCGGCAAGCCGCGTTAAAACATATTTTGTTATGGAACAGCTTCGCTGTATCCTTGTTCGTAAGGATCTTAACAGCAGCAGATTCGCTCATGGCTTGCAAAGGATGTTGTGTCGAATCAAAATTCACAATTTACAGTGAAAATTTGGCAAACGTTGGTAGGTATTAGGTGTCCATCGCTTGCCCAGCAGCAACGGAGCTGCCATGCACCTTGCACAGAGAGAACTTTGACTCAGAAACCGTACGTATCCAACCCACCTTTTTTTCGCAAAATTGCGTAACAGGGTAAGATGTACATAAACAATAGTACAGCACTAATGTTCATACATACTTCGCTGTAACTCTGAGACAATACGATTCCTACAATACATGAAGCTATCTTAAACGTAAATTGATTTCAGCTCCGACTCTGCGGTCTGCGACATCAGTAAGAAAAAAGTCATTTTAAGCTCAATTGATCCAAGAATTCCGCGGTCAAGGCCTATTTCCCACTGGACCTTTCCCGAAAATTTCAAGATTCATACACAACAAAAAGTACTTTGATTTTTGAAAATTGTTAGAATCTGGATTGATCAATGAAATTGGCAATCTCGACGAACGCTTTCTGCGGCCATACTGTCTAATGAGAGCTGAATTTTTCCCACTAAAACAGGAATGACACATTGATGCAAGAGCAATCTTGTCCATCTTTTGATATTCAATTGGCGATTTTTTTAGATTCGTAGTCCATTCCTCTCATCAAAAGCGAATGTTTTTGAAGATCAGATGTTGGATCGCTCTACTGATTGACTCACTTCACTTTGTAATAGTAACCGAAGCCGCATGTTGTATTTATTTGAATGGTATATTCGTGATTGACTATATCATACAGAAGGTGTTTTTATGTCAAGATAACTTCTCCGCTTTTGTCAAGTCTTTCCGTTCGCTTTATGACGTAAGACAAAGTTTTGAGAATCGAATTATATGAGTTCGAAATAATGGATCTGCCTTTGTAGAAACCTACTTTTCAATACTTTCGACAGAGTGTCAAATTTCATGCGCCCGCCTTCCAAAACTCAAGACCTTCGCAACAATGCGTCAACTTGCGATGAAAGCCTGCCAGGATTTGAGTTATCATTTAAATTTAATGCTCATCTTACGCCGAAATCGATTGCACGCGAAACTCCAGTAGAAGTCTATCAAGTCAACGCGAAGTGAAAGGATTTCTGCTTTTAAAGTTGTAGCGACTGTGTCTTTCATTATGAATCAAACTTTACATATGCAGTGCCTCCATAATAATAGACGCCGTTGCAAGTCATGAAAGTAATAACTCAGCACGAATGCAAAAAATGTCTTCCACTTGCTTTATCAATTTAAAGGCTAGCTTTTAGATCTGATAAGGGCATGAGCAGCATCAAGTCCGACAGATTCACACGAAATGTACATTTATGACGCATTGCAACAGTTTGCCAACTACGCCAAGAACATACTCAGCACACACGAAGGTAAAGCTCGTCGACGTTTCTGCAAGATTAGAAGGTTATTTTCGGTGCCATGTAGTGCGCGACAATAGAGCGCCGGGTGGTGAATTATGAATCAAATAAAAACGGCTAGGAGTTTGCAGCTGTTGTATTTTAAAGGTAGCACATTGTATGACGAACCAGATGACAATCTGGTAATCCCAATGCAAATGCCTTTGTTGATCTCACATTGAATCAAAAGTAAAGTCTTCCTGTGCTTTAGTAACTACCAGCTGAATTCTGTTGTAAGGTCTATCACCATAGCTTTTCTTGTGACGGATCAAAGTGCGAGAGAAAACTTCATAGATGCAGAAGCTCTGAAATGTCAAAAGTCAGACATATGCCGAGTCCCAGGTACTAACGTCTTTTCGCTTTAGCAGATAAACAATTCCAGGAATAGTCAATTTCACACTGTCTTCATCAGAGAAAAGTACACCTTGTGAACACGTGCTCCAAATGACGGAATTGTTTATGAGACTTCGAAAAATACGATGGTCTTGGTATCTGTTGACAAGTTCCATTCTTCTTTTGGGTATGGTGATTTTTTGGTGGACAAAGGTTTGGCCCCGCGTATCTCTTCATCAATCTCGACAAGTGACCTTGCCAACAATTGAGAAAGCACACGATTTATTTGACCTTGTGAAACAGCGGCAAAAGGAGACTCTTGCCTCAGATTCCAAACTACTTCATCTCGATGATCTGATCCATTCCGATTCATACAATCAGTGGGCACCAATGATCTTATCGAAATGTATGCATGGGATGGATAAACAAGCTGCACCCTGTATCAAAGAAGCCAATCCATCCAATATAATCGAAGCTCAAGAACTCATCTATCCTGCATTTCGCCTTAAGCTGCCAACATTTACTAATTCAAGCATGAAGGCCATGTGGCTCTCCGAAGGCTCTCGCAACGATTGGTGGCGAGTTACGGACGATCAATCGTGGGCAGAATTCGCCGTATTTCATGGTCAGAATATAATCTTTTCTAATGCTGCATACCGAGGAGATCCACCGGCAGATGTTTGGTCACCTCACGGGTGCATGGTCGAAAATGTTTCCCATGCGTCATTTTTGCATAATCTCGATGGTAACGTCACTGAGCTGGCTAACGACATAAGCATTGACACGCTTGTAATTGCTACGACTCCAGATTCATGGTCTTTTCAGCATTTTATGGATCGAGTTGCGGCTGTCTGGAGTCAAGCACAACTTATCATTCCTACTACCGCAAAAAAAGACACGGTCATTTTATCTGGTGAAACACCCCGCGATGCCATAGTGGATGAAATTTATGAACTGATTGTTGGTCAACACTTACACAAATTGAAATCAGTGCATGCAAAGCGACTTGTATTCTCTTGTCGTGCGCCATTGTTCCATCCTTTTACAACATTGCGAATTACGGAAACAATTTTTCAGTCGCTACCACCATCAAGTTCTTCACAACGTGATGTCATTTTGTTTCTTTCAAGATCAATTGGAGGTAAAACACGCAATGGTGGACGACAAATTTTAAATGAAGTGGAAGTGACGAACGCTATTTCAGCGATGTTAAATGCCACAGGACGACCAGAACAACTGCAGTATTTCCATCATGACGAGTTCAAA